AGTAAGTAAGCAGGATGGGTGAAGGGAAGGAGCTGAAGGGGGAGGTGAAGGGGGAGGAGAGGGTGAAGGGGAAGAAGGGAAGGGGAAGGGGGGGAAAGGGGAGGGGTGAAGGAGGGAGGGTGAAGGGGAGGAGGGGAAGGGGAGGAGGGGTGAAGGGGAAGGAGGGGAGGGGTGGAGGGGTGAAGGGGGAGGAGGGGTGAAGGGGAGGAGGGGTGAAGGGTGGAGGGAAGGAGTGAAGGAGGAGGAGGGGGTGGAGGGGGAGGGAGGGGCTGGTCGTGTGCCATTTTAGAGCAGTATAGTGTGTGAGTGTTGGAGGCTTATGGTCCTGTGAGTCGGCCCTCGCTCTGTCTTGTGTGTTGACCAGCTGTCACCGCCCTCTAGGCTGGTCACTCCCCTGTGTGTGTGTGTGTGTGTGTGTGTGTGTGTGATTTAAATATTTATGTTTTGTTTTTACATGAGAGAGAGAGAGTATGTATGTCTGTAGTCTGTTTACGTTTCTATTTCTAAATGACACGAAAAACAATAAGACACCATTCCCTCCTTATTTACAAACCAAAATACGAACAAATTGGCTTCAGATCCTACTATTAAAAAACACCCCCCTTCCCTCCTCCCCCTACCCCTCCCTCCCTCCCCTGACGAAATACCTCATTTACCTGTCAGACGTTGTTAATTAATCAATGGGTTCTGTTGGAGGTGAGGACAGCACCCTGAAGGAGAGGAGGCACATCCTGCTTCAGAGGGAGGTGTGTGTGTGTGTGTGTGTGTGTGTGTGTGTGTGTGTGTGTGTGTGTGTGTGTGTGTGTGTGTGTGTGTGTGTGTGTGTGTGTGTGTGTGTGTCCTCTTTCATTATTTTGTTTTGACGGGGATCAAGCGTCTATGAGTATAACACCTTGTTCATTGTAGAGCCATTATAGTCTGAGGGGCCTGAGGCAAGGGGGAGGGGGGGACTGAAACAAGGGGGAGGGGGGTCTGAAACAAGGGGGAAAGGGGTCTGAAACAAGGGGGAGGGGGTCTGAGACAAGGGAGGGAAGGAAGGGGGGAGGAGACAAGAAGGCACAAAATAGGAAGATGGGAAACAAAATATATCGGTATCTATAAATTATTTGCCATGATAAATTTCCTTGGTCTCCCGTGCACAGCATGATGGCGACCTGTGTCCACCCAGCCACGTAATAATTTCTACAGAGACCATCATGTACTCGTATATCCCTCTGCTGAGTACATGTTGACTATGACTCTGAGGCTAAGTACTGAGGCGAGGCAATGGTGGAGGAGTCTGGTCACTGAGGTAAGGCAAATGGGGTCTGGTCAGTGAGGTAAGGCAAGTGGGGTCTGGTCAGTGAGGTAAGGCAAGTGGGGTCTGGTCAGTGAGGTAAGGCAAGTGGGATCTGGTCAGTGAGGTAAGGCAAGTGGGGTCTGGTCAGTGAGGTAAGGCAAGTGGGATCTGGTCAGTGAGGTAAGGCAAGTGGGGTCTGGTCAGTGAGGTAAGGCAAGTGGGGTCTGATCTCTGAGGAAAGCAAGGGGAGGAGGTGTCTGGTCTCTCAGGCGAAGTAATGAAGGTGTAAGACAAGACTGGGGGAGGTCAGGGTCGGGACCATAAGAGGTTCCTTCCCGGGTGTTCCAGTGAGGCTCAACAGTGTGGTGTGAGGTCCAGATCCCCGCAAAAGGGAACACAAAGATTCGGGTTTCTATTTTCTTCATCTTTTGTTTTAAGTCTAAGCTTTTAACCCTTATTGACAGCCAGTGTGTAAAGCTTGTTGGATCACCTGAATATTCAACCACCCAGCTTATTTCACCTGAAGATTAACCACCCTAACGTTCACTTAACCTAACCCCACCAAGGTAGAGTTAAGGGTGTTTGATCATCAAGTGAAATAATTGGAGGTGCTCAAATTTACGGCCATTGTAATAAGTTCTGACGAGAGAGAGAGAGAGAGAGAGAGAGACCTGCATACATACCGTGGTCAGCCCGCCAGTCGTAACAGTTCACAAGCTCAAACAAACTCACAGGGCGAGGAGTGGGTGGGGTAGGTGTCCCTCCCTCCCAGGCCTCGTCTCTCCCGCCACCGGCACTGTCACGAGCTGCTCCTGACAATGAACAAGATGTGGTTAGGTTAGGTTAGGTTAAAGAAACATTACACATAAATAAATAATAATAAAAACGCCTTGGATCCACTTTCCATATTACCCCTAGCGTAACTCATCTAAATATTAATCACCTTTATGTGGTCCTAATCTAACCTAACCTAAACTAGCCTAACCCCCTCACGTAATCTTCAGGTTAAATAATAATAACAATAATAATAATAATAACAGAAAGAATCCCTAACACATCCTCTCCTCATTCGCCTCAACAGGGAAACCTAATAACTACCTGTCCTCCACTTATTAGCACAGGTGCACAGCCAGGCAGGGAGAGGTCACCAGGTAAGTAAGGTCACCACACGAGCTGGTTGGTTAAAGGCCACTTAGGCAATTCCCAAATTGACGATATTCTCACATAGACGATTTAACCTAACCTAACCTAACTTAACCTAATCTAACCTAACCAAACCTAACCTATCCTACCCAGCCCTAACATAACCTATCCAACCCAAACCTAATCTAACCTCCCCACTCTCCCCCACAGGTATAGCGTTAGGTGAGTAGAAACACCAGGTTAAATAAACAAGGGTGGCCATTCTTCAGGTGACCCGACTGCGACGAGACAAAAGACTGACAACAATTTCGACTGAGCTGTAAATTGTTCGTGGTGGCGCCCGGGGGAAGCCAAGCTGACGGCAGGGGAATTGGAGGAAATTGATAAGATTGGGGGTAAGTGGCCAAGTTTGGTGTGAGAGAGAGAGAGTTAAAGAGAGAGAGAGAGAGAGAGAGAGAGAGAGAGAGAGAGAGAGAGAGAGAACGAATAAAATATAGAGAAGAGAGAGATAAAGATCGAAACAAGGAAGAGACAATGAGAGAGAAGACTTAAACACAGAGGAAGAAAGAAATTACAAGTGAGAAAGATGGAATGAATGAGATAAAGAGTAAGAGAGAGAAAAAGAAAGATATAAATAGAGGAAGAGAGAAAAAAAGATAACGAGGAGAATGAGATAAAGAGAAATATACAAACAAGAGGGGAGAGAGAGAGAGAGAGAGAGAGAGAGAGAGAGAGAGCCCCCTCCTCACTACACACCAACTATTCCCTCACCACTGTCACCATCATCACCACCACCACCACTACAGCAATGTATTATATATATATATGAGTGTGTGTGGTGCGTTCCAATCACCATGCTAGCCTATATAGTGTGGTGATATCCGCCTCTCTGTCATGCCAATAACATCAGTATTAATAAGACACCATGATCATGCCAGCCACACACGTATTGTTTCTGTAATAGCGCGCCTCTGTTTACCTGTATCCGCATTCCCCGAGGTTGATACTGTATTGAAGAATGTCTCACTGATTTATGATAAAACTATAGGAGTAATAAGATAATATTTCCTTCAAGATAATATGCTTGAATTTTTGTCTCCTAATCGGTATTAAGTGAATGTATCTAGTTAAGGTAGAGTCTCAGTGTTAATTTTGTCTCCTAACTGGTGCTAAGTGGACGTATCTAGTTAAGGTATCACTATTGGTTAGGTTAGGTTAGGTACTACACGGCTCTTCACTACAGATGTTACCTATATTGATGACAGTTAACACAAAATAACTTTATCCAAGAATTCGTTTAAAAGATATATAGGAACTGTCACCTTGTGTGTTTGTTGTTGTTGTTGTTGTTTTAGTTGAAGTTCCGACAAAAACAATCACATTATGTGTTTGTTGTTGGTTTAGCTGTTGCTGTAACACAAGAAACTATCACCGTGAGCTGTTTTAGCTGTGGGTGTGGTATAGGAGATGACGAACCAAGCTGTCTTTAGTACAGTACCCCGACGCTACAGTAATTCACAGGCAAATACAAAATAAAAAATGTCAGGTGTTAAGGATAATATAAGAAAAGGTAGATAGATAGAGAGATAGAATGCCCAACGTGTAGGTCATGTACTGGGGTTGAGAGCACACGAGAAGAACACACATGAATCTTAACGACAATGACTTCGGGTGTTTGGAGACGAGTAAGATGAAAGCCAAGGCTGCATCTGAGAAGCATAACACACACACACAGTCATCCTAGACGGCGGAAACCCTGAGAACAAACAGAGGAGGAGGGAGGGAGGGAGAGGAGCCTGGAAGACAAGATGTAGACCTCCTGCACAGATGTCCTCCCTTATAAATCTACAACTATCTCTTCTTGCAGAAGTTGAACAAAAGGATGACCACCACCACCCTCCTCCCTCCCTTATTGCTTTAGGATTTATGAGTGAAGAGTTTACGGAGATTTGCATATCAAAGTGCGGTAGGGGAGGTGGGGGGAGGGGGAGGTAGGGGTGAGAGTGTTGTGGCCCGCGGCGTAGTGCCTCTAGCACAACCTCCCCCCACCCTCGGGCGCCCCTCCCTCTCTCCCTCCCTTTTGTCCAGACCTTTTATCGTCTCCTCCTCGGCCTTTCGTTCCTCCCTGACCCGCGTCTACACAAACAAATAATAATCCGATCTAGCTCTGGCCACCGCTCAAGTGCCGCTCGGGTTACCGCGCACATGGGCCTCGTGTCACTATTGGTCACCTGACCGTGACGTCACATCCTAGGACTTTGTGATTGGTCAAAAGAATTTGCTGCCCTCGTGTCATGGCACTCTAATTGCTTCATGAACGATGACGTTCTGATCCTGAGCGTGACTTCTATCTCTCAGGTACAGTATACGAAACTAGTGAGGAGCCAAGGCAAGTCTTCCGCCAAGAGATGGTTGGACGGGAAGTTAATGACGTCACACAACAAAGGCGGTCTATTGGTGGGTGCGGACATGACGTCATCGGTGGGAGGGTCAGGTGACGGGGGAGTTCCGGCGCCACCCGGGGGGTGCCGCGGCGCCACTGGTCGGGGAGGACGCGCCGGCCACCTGACCTTGCCAGGGGTGTGAGTGGTGAACCCTGGAGCCTGGACCAGTGGTGGCCTAGTGGTGGCCAGCGCAGGACGTGCCACACACGCGCTCACCATACAACACACACTCGTGGGATCATTCTACACCATCACTCTCCAGGTGCCAGCGAGCGAGGTAAGCCCATCTTAGTGCTGCTTCTCCACCCTCACCTTCCTCGCCGGGATGAACTCTCACTCTGCTACACCCAGAGTGATGCCTATTTAGTATATTCCTTCACGAGCATTTCCATAAATGTGATAATTTTGTTTTCTCTCTTATCTCGAGCTTACAACCGTATATTTCTAAAGTTCAGTTTACTAGAAACTCTTGAAAGTTGAAAGACGCGTGTGAATATTGTTCAGTGGCAGAGTTACTTTGATGTGTGTGTATGTTCTGTATGTGTCGGTGAAACAGGTAGATTACTGACAAGAACACTCCGTGAGCAACGTAGTTTGTGTACTGTATCTAGAAACACTGAAGAACGAAGCTCCATCCCCCGTCTAGTGATTGTGTTACGATTTCCCTTTGAGTGATAAAAATCTTCGTTGCATAAACTGATTCATCGTTGAGTGACAATGAATCTCCGGTGCAAAAATGTCCAAGCAGTAGCTACTAACGGAGGTGATGTGCAGATTACCCCAGCCACCACGCCGGGGCTTCCTTCTACCCCTCCACCCTCTACCACCACAACCTTCCCGGGTCACACACAACCAGACTGTTTTTACGCTGGTCATCTACAAGGAAGCATTACCGATACAATCTAGCCTATCGAACGTTTGTAAAAAAGAACTGATCATATTTCCTCGTAAAGCCTCGACTGGTCTGCCAACGACACTTTAAATATATATATATGTGTGAAGATAAGTGATCACATCTTTACCTACAACCATAACCTCTCGTGACGCCGTTCTTGGCTGTACTGTAGAGTGTTTTAAGGCATCTCCGGCGAAGAGTTATTTGATTGAGTCATTGTGGTCATTAATGGTGTGTGTGTGTGTGTGCAACAGGAAGAAGAGTAACAAGTGGGTGAGATGAACTAAAAACTTTGGGATCACCTGAAGATAAACCTCCCTCAGTTTATTTCACCTGATGATTTAACACCCTAATGCTATCTGGAGGGGTTAGGTTAGCATTAAGGTGGTTAAACTGTAGGTGAAATAAGCTAGGGGAGCTAATCTTCAGGTGATAAACTACTAGGGGTACGCATAAGTTGGAATAATGTACACAGTCTAAATATATTGACAACAGGGTGGCTCAAAACAATACTGTACAGGGTGACTCAAAACAATACTGTACAGGGTGGCTCACAAACAATACTGTACAGGGTGGCTCAAAACAATACTACAGGGTGGCTCACAAACATGTTACCACTTTGATGTAAATACGACGAAAAGAAATACATGTAATATTAATCGTAACTATGTAAAGTCGTTGATAATAAACACCGCCTTTGTCAGTTGCTCTTGGTCAAATTAAGTGATTATCAATTATTATTACTAACATCGGTGTATTAATTACTCACCACGGTGTATTAATTACTCACCTCGGTGTATTAATTACTCACCACGGTGTATTATCAATGAATATCTACGTAATAACATCAATTTTACACACTACAAGTTACGGTTCTTCACATTAAAGAGACAAGTAACATTTTGTGAGCCTCCGTGAACAGTGTAAATCGTCTCTACTTTAGACTTTGAAGACGTCTACCCCCCCTCCCCCCACCAAAAAAAATTAGTCTTTAATTTACATAAGGTTGACAATGAATCTTAAAATTATTCAGGAGCCGTAATGGATCACCTGAAGTTTAACCACCCTAACCTAACGCTAACCTAAACTAACCTAACACAGGAGTGCTAGTTACAAGACGAGCGAGGTCATCCTAAAACTATATCGTGCGCTTGTCAGACCTTACTTGGATTATGCAATTCAGTTCTGGTCACCGTACTACAGAATGGACGTAGAATCCCTAGAAAGAATTCAGAGGAGAATGACGAGACTAATCCCGGGCATTAGGAACCTTGAGTACAGAGACAGGTTAAAGCATCTTAATTTGTACTCCATCGAGTGAGGGGCGATATGATCGAGGTGTATAAATGGAAGTCAGGGCTAAACAAAGGTGATATAACAAAGGTACTCAAACTATCCAACCAAGAGCGAACTCGTAACAATGGTTTTAAATTAGACCAATTAAGATTTCGGCGCGAGGTAGGTAAACATTTGTTTGGAAATAGAGTAGTGGATGAGTGGAACAAGTTACCAAACATTATCATTAACTCGAGCACGCTGGGTAGCTTCAAACATAGGTTGGGTGGATATATGAGCAATAGGGGTTGGGTGTAAACGGGACTGCCCAGTATGGGTCAATAGGCCCGCTGCAGTTTCCTCCATTTACGTTCTTATGTTAACCTCATCCCTCCAAACTGTATTACGATGGTTAATCTTTAAGTGAAATAAATTGGGGGTGTGTGGATTCTTCAGGTGATCTCAACATGTATTTATTAACCTAATAGACTGTTTGGCATAATGAAGACTGACAGTAACAAGATAACTTAAACTAACTGTCATGCCCGTACATCACTTAATAGGTAGGTTAGGGGAGGAAGTAGAGAGGGGAGAGGGACAGGTCATTTAAGGTCACGGTCAGGTAGCTGTACAGAGTAAACAATGACCTCAGGTGTCAACTTCAGTTACTGCCGCGCCCTCCCCTAGTTTGTCGGGTGTGACTGTTTGAATCATGAAATAAAAAGTGAATTTAATAATATGCGACCTTGTGGAAGTCGTGGGTAGTGGTAACACGTGGTGGTGAGGGAGAAGACGATACCATGACGAGACTAACGTAGAAACATGTGTGTGGTGGTGGTGGTGAGGGGAGGGGAGTGAATCCTGGTGATCTACAATGCTTGGTGAAGGGTTAGGGGGGAGGGGGAGCCGCGCTGATCTACAATGCTTGGTGAACGACTGGTGGGGGGTCCTGGTGCTCTCCTTCCTTCACAACTTTCCCGCCAACAGAGACCAATTTACCAGATTCTTTTAGTTTTTAACAATAAAGTTCACCCTCAACATTTACAGTATCTATTTTTCATTTTCAATAAATAAATATATTTCCCTGGCCGTTAGATAATTTGTAAAAAATATTCATATGAAGAATAAACGTTTACGAAGGTTTTAATGTCGTCAAAATCTACACCGATTCCGCGATTCGTCTTTGTTTTATTCGGATCCAGTGAAAATATTCTACACTGTACAGTACATGGAGACATAAAGTGGATAAATGACAAAACATTAGGAATAACGATTAAATAACACTTAAAAAGAAATTTCCCAGCAGAGGACTACCAGTTGCTAGGAGACGGTGGCAGACAGGTAGGTAGGTAGTCGCGCCAACACGAGGTCCAGCGATGTTTTTATTTACCAACCAGAATAACTTAACCTTCACGGGAGGACAAAAGATGTGAACTAAGTAACAAGAACACTCCCATCAAGATCCCAACACAAGACACAGATGACTAACCAGAATTAATGATAGTAGGAAAATAAAAATAAAAAAGTCAAACGAGCGTCTGTGAGCAAGATGTTCAAGAAAGAGCGACACAAAACGTTCGTATACATCCGCGAGTCATTCAAGGAAATTCATTGTAGTTCCTGTATCAAGCGACGCCTACCGCCTACGGCTTGTTCCTACATGCATGGCTTCCTGTAGGCTTAGCGGATTACCCCATTCTCGATTAAATTAAGCTTACTTATCCTCCTCCTGAGCTATCACCTTACAAGCCAGTCTTGAGGGTGGGGGAGGAGTCAGTCCAGTGTTAAGTAATGTTAATCTTATTACTGCTAAAGATTAACTGATTTAAAGGGAGGGAAAGAAATCACCATTCAGTGCTTACTTCGTTAATGTTTATCCTCAGTGTATTCTCCCCCTGGCGTGAGGTGTCTTGTGGCGTCACGGCGTACAGTTACCCCTGCCTGAGACCTTCCCTCACTGTCCATCCCCGTCCCTCCTCCTCCTTCCCAGACCCTTCTCTTTCCCTTCCTTTGTCCTTTTCTTGTTTATCTTTCCTTCTCTCTTCTCTATTGTCCTCTTCCCTTTCTTTAACTCCCTTTCCTTCCTTGTTTTTGTGTTCGTTATCTTTCCTTCTTCCTTGATATTTATTCCCACGCCTTCCACCTCCCGTCTCTTCTACTCCTTTCTTTCAATTTTTCTTCTCCTTTATTTACAATGTCTAAGTTTTATCCTATCAAACTCCATGTGTCTCTCTTTTTCCTTCTCTTCTCTAACATTCCCTCCACACACACACACACACCCAACACTGCTGTTCACTCAACTCAGATTTAATGTCAACAAGGAGCCTCGAAGGACGTCCTCTAGACAATAAGGAATTAAATCAACACGAGGGAGAGTGGCTGGGAAACTCCCCCGGTCAGTAGCTGCTGTGCTTATCTTGGAACCCGAGACCTATGTGGCGGCAGGTCAATTTCCGGGGTGAGGGCAGGAGCTGTTGGGGGCGCTGACAGGAGTCTGGCGGGGCGTCATGACCTCCCACGGCTTCGGCGGGAGGGTGAAAGGTGAGAGAAAATATATATATCCTAAAGTCCTCTGTTGGATGCAGATCGTCGATGATGGAATGTGAACTTGCGAGCCAAATTATATGGAGGTGAGCGTCATAAGGCAGTATTTATTGTTGGGAGCGCCATATAGAGCGGTGGTCGTGAGGGGCGTGTCCAACTCGCCCCGCCCGCCCGAGCAACTCTGCTATGATCTCATTCTCAGGTCAGGCCGCGTTAGTCATTCCTGCACAAATATGGTGAATACGATTATTGTAGCGTCTCCTGATACACTGAGCCTCTGAGTCGTGCGTACTACAGGAAACCTTTATGACCTTCCTGATAAAACTCCCGCAATAAACTCTTGAGGGTGTCGATATGTTTTGATAGTTATTAATAAATCAAACCGTATCTCTGTAACAACGTCAAGTGGCGGGTATAACTAGTTGATTAAGTCAAGATATAACCAGGAGGTGAGGTAACACTGCCGTAGACCGTCACATGGGCCGTAACACTGTCTCAGGAGTGTCCAGAGGCGCCACAAGGTCACCCAGGCCAGGCAGTACCGCCCTGCATACATTAAGGGA